ACAAATCTCCCATCCCAGTACCCCAGAGTAGTATCGTCAGTGAGAGGATGTATATGTGCCTCCCCTTCACCAGGGCAGATATTTCCTAATGACTGCCATCATGAAATTTCTCAAACGTTACTACAGCACCGATGTGACCCGAGAAGGTGAAGTGACACGTCCTACTCGTACGGATAGACTGTGCGTACGGATAGACTGAGCGTACGGGTAGACTGAGCGTACGGATAGACTGTGCGTACGGATAGACTGAGCGTACGGATAGACTGAGCGTACGGGTAGACTGTGCGTACGGAAAGACTGAGCGTACGGATAGTACGGGTAAGCTCAACGATTTCTAATACACAAAGTTAGCCTCTTCTTTGTCCGCTGCGGACGTTCTCGGGACCTGGCCGTATGGCGACTTTCCGTTTTGATCCTTCAGGTAGGAATTTACTCGCAGAGGTTGTTTCCTGGGCACTCGCACACCTGTCTTTTTTGCAGCGGAGCCTTGGTAGTATGCCCCATGTTTGGCGGGAATCGGTTTCGGCATTACGACGTCATTGCCGTCATCGCCGAACAGATCGTCGTCATGGATGGGGCCGCTGTGTTTGTCTTTAGCCTTTAGCTTCAATCGACCGAACGTTATCTGCATCCAGCGACCGGCACATACTCTTCTTTAGATGTGTCCATTTCAGATTCAAATCTATTCAATGAATTTGAATGGGAAGTTCACAATGACCTTTGTTGAAGTGACTACTTCCCAACTATTCTTTCAGAAATAACTTCATCTGATACTCCATCGTGTACAAGGTGGAATTTGTCGAAGGCTAACTGGTCCTTATATCACACTATGTGTAAATCGAAACTACGACCTGAATGTTTCAGCGATATAACTGATCCCATTCAGACCTTTTCTGACGTTTTGAATGAAATAGCTGATGAGTGTATACCAAAGTCCTCTACGACTCCACATGTACGGAAACCGTGGTTTAATACAGATTGTAGGCAAGCCAGAAAAGCGAGGAAAAAGGCAGACAATTATTTCCGCCATCACCCAACTGTGCATAACTTAAATAAATATAAAATACTCAATGCAAAGGCGCGTCGTACCTTCAAACAAAACAAACGGCAAAAAATTAATTCACGCACGCCCATGTCCAATGTATGGAACATGGTTCAAAGAATTAAAGGCAAAGGTTCAAAATCTGCTGTTCACCATCTTAAAGATGGTGATAAGTTAATTACTGACAAATCTAAAATTGCAAATAAAATTGGCGAAACTCTTGCCCAAAATTCATCATCGGCAAATTGGGTCCCTGCGTTTCAGAGATAGCAGAAACAACAGGAAAAGACTAAACTTAATTTCGAATCAAATAACGGTGAGGATTATAATGAAGTGTTTTCATTACATGAGCTACATATTGCTCTTGAGCAAGCTCATGACACTGCAGTGGGTGATGATAATATTCATTACCAGCTACTGAAACACTTACCTGAACCATGTCTGATGACACTTTTAGATATATTTGATCAAATATGGACGTCTGGGGAATTTCCTCCTTCATGGCGTAATGCCATTGTAGTCCCAATACCAAAACCTGGCAGGGATCATACAGATCCGTCGAATTACAGACCGATCTCTCTAACTAGCTGTGTCTGTAAAACCATGGAATGTATGGTGAATAATAGATTAACTTGGTATCTTGAAACCAATAACCTTATAACAAATACTCAATGTGGTTTCAGGAAAAATCGTAGTACCATTGATCATTTGGTACGTTTTCCTTTGTGAAAAATGCTATAGTAAATAAACAACATGCAGTATCGATATTCTTTGATCTCGAGAAAGCATACGATACCACCTGGAAGCATGGCATTTTGAAGGATTTACATGATTTTGGTTTAAGGGGTCGTTTACCTCTTTTTATATCACAGTTTTTAACCGACAGGCAATTTCAAGTCCGAGTGGGTTCAACCCTGTCTGACCATTATAATCAGGATCAGGGTGTCCCACAAGGTAGTATTTTGTCTGTAACATTGTTTAGTATTAAGATCAACAGTTTATCCAAGGTTTTAAATGATTCAATCGATGGATCACTTTTTGTGGATGATTTTAACATTTCTTGTCGCGGTAAGAATATGCACACTATTGAACGGCAACTACAGTTGTGTTTAAACAAAATAAATAAATGGTGTCTTGAAAACGGCTTAAAATTTCCTAAATCGAAAACTAATTGCATACATTTCTGACGTAAATATAAACCACATAAAGACCCAGAACTGTTTTTAAATGGCACTCCCATCAAGTTTGTAAAGGAGGCACATCCCTCCCCTTGTGTTGATCTGTGTGGTAGACACATCCAGCACGATTCATGTGGAGCTGGTCTCTGTGCCCGAGGAGCATGTCTGTAGTCCTTGGCAGAAAGTAAAAAGTCATCAATGATATATATATACACTATCTGAAGCACATCCAGCAGGATTTGAGTGGATCTGGTGTCTGTGCCCGAGGATCATGTCTGTAGCCCTTGTAGAGTAGGAAACCCACTCGCCATAACCTACACAGCGTTATAACGACTTAAATAAAACGAACAACAATTTAACATGGCTATCGATATAGATCATGGAGATCGATAATCAGTTACCTACCTATCGCTCGATTATCGATAAATATCGGGGAGACGTAACTTCAAGCAAAATTGCCAAAAATGTCTGAAAGAAATGAATATAATTTCACATCACTGGTGAGTTGTGACATGTTTTTGCATGTATTAGTAACAAAACAGTGTTCTAAACATTTATAAAACTAGACCATGAATGAAGTCCTTTATGTGTAAAAGATGTGATAAGATTTAAACTGTTTTTCTATCACAAAAAGTAATGTACGATATTATCGATAACATAATTTTCATATCGATGCTCATTAATATTTTTTCCTATCGTCGATATTTCCGATTATCGATGATTCTAGCCGGACCTAATGTAAATTGTAGTTCTTAGTATCATGTTCCCTGACCAAACAAGACGAAGGCTTCATAAGTGTTTCGGTATCCGTAACGTGTGTGAAAAGGTGTATACCTGTTATAGGTCTTTATTGACAACTATATACTCACATGCTTTATAGATAGAGGACACATATACACGCCCAATGCATGAGTGATATACGCACAAGAGCAGTACATAAAGATTTAAACGACAAATGTCGGTAACTGACATGCAAATGTCACTGTTTAACGGTGCGTCCATTACACAGGTTATGAGCAACATGTACATTTAAAGTCTCACCTGAGATGACTGCCGGTAGCGTGAGGACAGCCACAACCAACAAGACGTCCATTATCTAAATTTAGGTGTGCTCCTCCTTCGGTAACTATACAGGATATCTCTGTACGTGTCAGCTCACATGAAAGGAGTACTGTTATGAAACTTTGTTATTCGACACTGTATAGTTGCCTTTGAATCGATCGGGCCAGCAGTTTGGAGGTTATGGACTACAGAATACAGTATTCGTTATACGTTTTAGAAGGCTGTATTTCCAGACTAGTGTGGTCCGAAATCATCTAGGTTTTAGTGTAACATTTGTCTTCTGAAAGGGGATGTTGAGAAGTCATGATTTGTGTATTTAGGTAATGATAGATAATCAGCGTGTATTTTGATATAATAAATAAACCATCAGAAAGGTTTACATGAAGTTCTTTGTTTGCGCTTTAAAACCCAGATATACATATATTCCATTTCAATGTCAAATGTGCAATATTGCCGATGTGACGTTAAATAATAACTCACTCACTTAAACCCAGATCAGCAATCTTCCAGCTTAATGTCGACGGTTTGAAAAGACATTAACCGGACAAGAAATCCAGTGTTGATAATTATTGAGCATCGATCTGCATTTTATTTTCACTTTGGATACCATGATATGCACTAACCATTGAGTTAATGACTCAAACCACACGATCAAATCGGTAGTCTCTTACAACAAGCATGTGTTTTTCAAGACCATTTCTAACCCAGATCGTCATGCGTACGAGAAAATGAAGACAACTGTTTATTGTTACACTATAAACATCCTGAATTCGCGTTCTGAAATATATTAACCAATGTATCTGCTTGTCAAGTGTGTTGTCATGGATGTATCTCAGTGTAATGCATACAGTAATGTACATATCACATATAGTTTATATTAGTTACAAATTATGTAAAAGGCATACAAATAGTCCATGATTATGTCAAGGTTGTGGTTTTATAAATATGAAATCTCATCTAAACCATACAAATCTGTTCAAGAAACAATATTCAAACACGGACTGTCTCGCATTCACGCAGGTATTCCAGCTCTTTTAGTTTAGTAATGCGACATTTGAAGCATATATATGTTCCAATTTCTTACAATAAATCAAGAATGGGACACAGAAGAGGGTTACAGCAGGTACTCTTGTCCTTGTAGTTCAGTAATTCTACACTTGAAGTATACATACATGTACAAATGCATATGTACAATATATCAGGAACGAGATACGTACGGAATGTGTAAAACACCTCACTAACTCCTTTAGCTCAGTAATTCTACGGTGAGACATATACATGCTCAAATGTGATAAAAATGAAGTCCGATCCAATTCCCTATTTTCACTTGTACAAACCGTTCCCGAATTATTTGGTTAACAATGCCCTCAGCAATATTTCAGCTGTATGATGACACGCGACAGTATAATGAAGTGATTAACAAAGTTAACAATCAAAGTTATCAATCTTTGCAATTTAGAATATGATGACGTTAAGTCAACCAAGTCACATCGACTCTCTTTTAAAGCATTGGTTCGCTGAGGTCATATATCCTGAACGATTAAATATGCATAATCAAAGGTATGGTGTTGTTTGGATTGTATATCTACGAAGCGCTCAATTTCTAATGTCACCAGAATGTTTTCACGAATATGAAATGACCATGTAGATAATATTCTATTAACAAACTTTCAGACGAGGCAGAAACGTAGTAGTGATTTAAACAATATTTTCAGGAATAAGGGGTAATATTTATTATCATCCACTTTCTTACGTCTGTGGTCATACGTCCATACAAGCTGGCAGAAGCAAGGCGCAGTTCTTCCAGATCTCACAGTAACAGATGCCAGACTATATTGCAACCATCCTGCAATGTTTTGTGTGAAAGCGAAACACCACAGCAGTTATTTACATTGCAGCCTTGAAAATATACATTGCAGTGTCAATCTTTGAACTTGTATGCTTGAGCAGCATATTCCACCCAAAGTGTTTGAACCATGATGTACTGTGTGTTCACACATATAGATGAACCTTAGTACTACATCACTGCACATAGAGACACATTCAAAACAGTTTGACTTGAACGAATGTCAGTACTTAGTTGCGAATGACAGGTTATCAACAGTAGACACTAGTAATAGCACCTAATGTAGATTGCATCCGTTATTCATTGATTTAGCGGTTGGTGATGACCTCATCTGGACTAAGGTTGTCATAGATGTTGGCTGGTTCCTCTGTGCTGTCAAAGAAGCCTGCATAAGCGGGGTGGGCAGGAGACATAGGAATGTCAGCAGCAGGACTCTTACGGCAGGATTTGCTGTATCTTGGGCTGAAATACGTCACAGTGAAAAGTGATGAAGGAACCTACGTTAGTATAGACATGAAAATGGTTTCTTTTCTCTTTTAGCACATTGGTCAAAGTGACAAGAACCGGCTTCTATAAAGTATCGTTCCATATACATCTTACATCCTGTTCGCAATGCAAGTAAAACAACATATACATGTTTGTATAACAGCCTTTGTTGATGGATGATTGGCTGCTTGGTTGATGGTTTAACGCCGCACTCAGCAATATTCCATCTATATGGCAGCAGTCTGTAAATAATCGAATCTGGACCAGACAATCCAGAGCATGAGCCTCGATCAACGTAGTTGGGATACGATGAACAACCGATTCCGTTACTCGCCTCTTAACGACAAGCATGGGTTGCTGAAGATCCGGATCTTCACGTATGTACAGTACAACCAGAAATTATTGAGAATTTAAGATAGCAATTTTTAAAAAAACAAATCACTCATTACTCACGTATGAAATGTGAATATTAGCAGAACATAACTCCAGATTCAAAGACAGGTGAACAGTTAGTATTTTGTCAAGTCACCATGGGCAGCAATGCAGGCTTCAATGCGGCGGGGCATACTACTGATCAAAAAAGTGTTTTTTCAGATTTTTCTTATTGACACTTTCCTTCGTAAGTCCCCAAACATTTTCTATTGGATTTAGGTCAGGGCTATAGCTTGGCCAATCTAATAATGTCATATTTTGGGTCCGAAACCAGGCCCGTGAATGCTTTCAACGATGTTTTGGGTCGTTGTCCTGCTGGAAAATCAAAAAATTTCCATAGACCACGTGAGCAGATGGTAGTAAATGACCCTCGAGAGTATCTTGGACCGCTCACTGTTCATATTCCCTTTACATACACCGAGGGGCGTTGCCCCTAACACAGATATGCCACCCCACACGTTAAATTTCAGACTGTACTTTGGGCGCTGATACAAAGGTTGTTCAGTTTGTTTGGTCCAGAATTTCAGTGTATTAGGAAACAGCCGCACAAAACTTTCATCTGAGAAAATCACATTGTCCCAGTTAAAATTTATATGCTGTAAGAACCAGTTCAAAAACCTTCGCTCCTTTTGTTCAGGTTTCATGATTTGTGATGGAATTCCTCGACTTTTCCAACCCATGCCATGCAGCCCAGTTCGAATTGTCTCCTTACAGACAGCCACAGTTCCTCTATCAATCATATCCAGCCTTAAGTTTTCTAAACTCCTTCGTTTGGTTTTAGAACAATAATACCAAGCCGCCTCCTGTCACCGACAGTCAATTTTCTGGGCCTACCTGCGCCTCCCTGGTGCTCAGTGCCATATCCATTTGCAATATTTTTCAAAACACGATAAACAGTGGACAAAGCGATGCCTGTTATACTTGAAATCACTTAAACTGATCTGATGTCCTTGTTATAATACTCTAAAATCAACTTCCTCTTCTCTTAATCATCCATACTGAGGATCACTGAAAATGTCGTCTGCTAGCAAGTAAACAAAGGGGGATAACTCTTAACAAACTAATGAAAAAGGATTCACGGAGTTGTCTCTCTTGAATGAAACCAAGCACTTGATAGCCGGTCAAGGTTGTTTATACTAGAAATCCAAATAAACCTTTTCCTAAAATTATCAAACATTTCTGGTCCTACTATATATAAAGCAGTGGAGAATATATGAAATGTCCATACCTGATGATGCAGAGGTAGATAACTTGACCAACAATGGCCACCCCGCCACCTGTGGCTATTCCTGCAGCAAATATTTCACCTGTAATTAGAAACATTCAAATGCTTGGCTCATGTGTAGTGTTGTATAAATGAAGTGTCAATACTCACCAATCACACAATCCCGTCCTACCTGACGGACTAGTTCATCCGCCTCTTTAATACATTTTCCTCAACCTTCCCTTCTAAAGCCTACAGATTAATATGGTTCATTTTGTGACGTTCCATCCTCATTATAGATGCGATGAGCAGTTCTCGACACCAAAAACACGTCAGTAAAATATTGTCTTCAAGCTTTTCCTTGTGTGTTTTTGTGCGAACTCACCCTGGTCCTTGCTTAGCCTGCACCATGCCTGCATAACTGTCTGGATTACCGACACTGTTGCGTGAACTGTTTATGTTTCGTATGTAATTGTGTTTGTTGATTAAAGATGGACAAGGCAATATTACATGATGGCGGTTTTCAAACAGACGACGCTTGACCAGGTGAACCAGTGATTGCACTGCCAGGATATGAAGACACACAGTTATTCATTTACTTGCTTCGCTCTGCAAGCACTGGTTACAGGGGATCCGTTCTAATTTCATGGTCATACAACAAAGATGTCTGACCAAAGCATGAAAGGTCATGTATACATGATTCGCCTGGTAGGGGCATCATACGAACAGACCCGTGAAGGCCCGGGTTAGCATGAGCCTTCAGTAACCCATGCTTGTCGTAAGAGGCGACTAACGGGATCGGGTGGTCAGGCTCGCTGGCTTGGTTGACACATGTCATCGGTTTCCAATTGCGCAGATCGATGTTCATGCTGTTGATCACTGGATTGTCTGGTCCAGACTCGATTATTTACAGACTGCCGCCATATAGCTGAAATATTGCTGAGTGTGGCGTAAACTAAACTCACTAATACGAACAACGTGAGGTTTTCCTCTTACATGACAATTACGCACTGACTGCAATGTCTCTCGGAACATGATGCAGCGATTTCCTGGTTCAGACAGCAGTGATACAATTTTTATAACATTGAAGTTGAAGAAAGAATCAGTAATACGATTCACCGGTGTGTGAGCATATGCTTTCATTGAGTTGATATAAATATTTTAGTAACAGATGTATCCACTACATTTGCATGAATAACGACACAATGTTTTTTAAATTTGCAAAACACAAATATTTCGATAACCTGTAGTTGTATCTTTGAAGAAGAATTAGTGAGGGGTGAAGTTCAAACAAGATACGCACTTCTTTTTGCAGATATCTGTACGATCAACATTTATTCACAAACACATGCACATGTTTAAGTCAGAATTAGTTTTCTATGGTATTACGCAAAGAGCTGTGTCGCTCGAATCCCAAAGAGAGAACCGTGTTGGCTGGGGACGAGTATCCATATACACTAGAGCAGACGGGCCAGTGAAGTCATTTTGGATTTCGACAGACACTTTTTGAAACATCTGAGAAATAACCACTGAAACGAACTTGTACCTGGAAAATTATCATTGCAAATTTGACTTCCTGTCCTAGGGTTCTCAGTTTTAGAACCTTCAGTCGTCCTTGTCTCACCAGTTGATCCTGGAGGGGATGTGGGCTGTGCTTGATGTGTGGTATCAGGTGAACGTACTGTTTCAATACGAGTGGTTGGCTGGGATGTAGATGGAATTCTCCTTGTAGATGTTGTAGGTGTCGTAGTTGTGCTGCTGTTAGTGTTTGGCTCAAAACACTCAAACGTTAGCTGATCTGTTGAAACGAAAATGATCATGGAACCATTGGTTGCAGCTTTTTAGTGACGGTGAACAGGTTGACGCAAGCTAATCAACGAGTTTTGTGCATATTTAGTTGGCCCGATTTGTTCGAAGATTAAAAATGTCTAAGCTAATCACTGTAACAGAAGAAACAAGAGTGGGCTGTTTGCCTGAAAATGACATGGGTAATCGCAGATTGCGAGAAGATAATAACTCTGAAAACGTTTCCTAGATATTATAACACAAGATTTTAGAAATGAATAAAAAAATGCAATGTCATAAGTTAATCGCACAGATCGCCGTTGTGAAGACTTTTGATGATGCAAAATGCAAAGTAAACATGGTGTTATGAATTATGAATGCAGTTTGAACAGTAGCCACTCCCACAACCATGCCACTGTATAGGGTTTGAGACCGTCCGGTTATAGTAAGAGCTATATTTGCAGAACACTGTCAACCAGTGTTTATTGATATGTTGAATATATACTACTCAAAACAAGTTAAGGGTCATAACTTTTAATGGCCATAACTACAAATATGAATAACAGTGAAATGTAGCGATCATATAACAACTCGAGCCAACATTTCATGATACCCATAACGGGAGACAAAAACAGCAGGAATGTCAGTGATTGCTGATTAATAAGGTCAAAGAGACCTACTGTCAGAAGTGAAAATTCAAACGCCAACATTGGACTAATAACGGATGTAACCACCTCGAGCAGTAAAACAAGCAGTACACCTCTGTCTCATACAGTTCACCAGACGTTGGAAGAAGGCTTGGGGTATTGCCTGCCATTCTGCAATGAGATACTGGGCCAGTTCTGCACGGTTGTTATGAGGGACGTGGTTGTTACGAAGCCGACGTCCTAACGCGTTCCAAGCATGTTCCATATGGGCTAAATCTGCTGAATATGGCAGGCATTCCATGTGCTGAACATTGTTCTGTCTAAGGAAGTCCGCCAAAACACGGGCACGGTGGGGTCGGGCATTGTCATCTTTGAATATGGATCCGACGCCGATACGTTGTAAACATTGCAAAACAAGGGGTCTGATAATCTCCCGTAGATAGCGCTTTCCGGTCAGGTTACCATTAATGACATAGAGAGGTGTCCTTTGATGAAAGTAAAACGCACCCCAACCTATGACACCCCCGCCTCCATATTGCAAACGTTGGTTGACGTTAACGTCAGCAAACCTCCCTCCTGGACGCCAATACACACCGAGTTTTACCATCATTGAACTGTAGAGTAAACCTAGACTCGTTGGAGAAAAGAACTGATGCCTACTCAGCACGTTGCCAACGAACATGGCGTCTACACCAGTCATGTCTTGCCGTCATGTGTCGCTGAAGGAGCGGTGGTCGTACTTCTGGTCGCCGTGCCCGAAGATTGTTCCTCGTCAGTTTGTTCCTGACAGTCTGATCAGATACCAGGGTACTTGTGGCAATTCCCAGTTGGTCACGGAATTGTCTGGCAGTTACTCTGCGTTGTGGGAGGGCTATATTTGTCAGGATTCGGTCTTCTCTATGAGTTTTTGATGGAGGCCTGCCAGAACATGGTCGATTATTCAGCGTTGCAGTTACACGAAACTGGTGCCATGACCTTCCAATGACACTCTGACTCACATTAAGTCTCTGAGCCACACTGCGTTGAGGTTTGCCATCCTGAAGCCAAGCAAGAGCACTTCCTCTGTCTGTCATGCTCAGTTAACGTCTTGCTATTGTTGAATTTCAAGTGACAATAACAATGCGACAATAACGTGTTTTATAGGGAAATTAAGCATGCACAGCACTAATCCCACGAATAACACCTGCAAATGTTGATCATGTTGAAACATCATCTTTCAAAAGCATAGTGGTGGTGCTTCTGTGAAGCACTCGATGTTTCAATTTGTTCATTTTTTAACACCCTTCCACATGATGACTATTGGCACCACGGTTATCTGCAGCCTTTATCCAGGTTCTGCAATGGTTTTGAATAAACTACCATACACGGAATGTAAAATGTTATTCATGCATAATGCAACCAGCCTCATCAATAACATTACATGATGACACCGCATGACCCTTAACTTGTTTTGAGTAGTATATATACTGAGTCAAAAAAGAAACTTCACATTCTTTCTTCAGGGCACTATAAAAGAACAAGAGATGGTAAGATGGTTAAATTGGCATTATTTCATTGCTGAGTTCTGTGTGATGTACTCGATACACTGACAGTGCCATAATCAGTTCCGTTAGGCTACACCGCTGTTCCAAAACATGGGTATACAGAATGTCAAGTCACAAGAATAAAAATGCGAAATTTCTCAGTTCAATATCGTGTATGGCCGCCCCGCGCATTCACCACTGCCAAACACCGTCTCCTCATCGACTGCCTGATGCTTGTGATCACGTGGTTGGGGATTCTGCGCCATTGCTCTTGCAAGGCAGCGCCAAGTTCCTGCAAGTTCTGAGGTTGGTTCCTAAGACCACGAAGCCTTCTCCCAAGTGCATCCCAGCGTGCTCTATTGGATTAAGGTGAGGGGACCTCGATGGCCAGTCCATGACGTTGATTCCAGCGTTTTGAAGACAATTTCTTGTCAACATCGCGGTATGCGGCCGAGCATTATCATGCTGGAACTAAAGACCTGGGCCATGAGCCGCCATGAAAGGAACGAGTTCAGGGTTGAGTACCTGGTCGCGGTAAGCAGCAGCTGTGAGGTTTCCACGGATGACCAGAAGTCGGGAACGGTTGTTCCCACTTCCGCCCCCGAATCTGTGGACTTCCTGTACACAACATTGGGCATACCGTTCACGACGTCGTCTCTAGACTCTATGCCTGCTGGATTCATCGCTAAAGACGACTCGATTCCAATCTCTCTGGGTCCATCGGAGGTGACGTTGGGCCCACAGCAGACGTTGACGTTGATGAAACGGCGTCAATATTGGTCCACGATATGGACGTCGAGAACGGAGATTGGCAGCCCGCAACCGATTTCGAATGGTCTGTGAGGACAGTCGACCTCTAAACATCTCGGCCCTGGTTCGTGTAGCCGGCAGAAATCTGTCACGTAGGTGACGTAGGACGATTTGACGGTCTTCTGCTCGTGACGTCTGACGTGGACGACCCGACCTTGGGCGATCACAAGTGGTGCCAGTTTGTTGAAGACGACCTCGCAAGTCATACACAGTACGACGGCTGCATCCCATTGCTCTTGTGACGTCAATAACTGATCTTCCCGCTTGCAACATGCCAACGGCACGTTCACGTTGCACTTTTGACAATCGTGGCATTTCAAGTACGGTTAGAACTGTGGTTTAAAAGTGTTTTTTCAATTCTTGAGGCCAATGCAAACACGTGCATATGAAGAAAACTTCGATGCGAAGATCACGTGATCGACTGCACTTGCACAACCTGATTTGGCACTAACGTCATTTGCACAACGAATGGATGGGTTTGAGTGGGTTTTGCTAACGTTTTTCTAGAGTCGAAAGATAGGGACCCCATTTCGGATACATAGATGTATCGTCAGAGAAATATTATTCATTATTTTTCAAATTACATTTTGTGAAGTTTCTGTTTTGACTCAGTACATCTATATATGCTAATTCGTTTTTCAATTCATCACACTTTTGGCAACATGTCTCACCTAACGGTTGCTTCACCTTGAACTGAAGCTGTCCTGACAGTCGGTAGGCTCCATATTTTGTAGCCACCACCAGGATCCAGATCTCCTCACCAGTGTTGACGGTGTGAGTCTGTGCAGGTGGAGACTGAACAGCACCATTTGTACACTGTGTACTTGTCCTCCACTTCGGTATAGTCATGTATGTGTCACACTGTGGTATCCAGCTAACAGTGAACATATCCACCTGTGTTGTCTGTGACACAGTCAGTCTACAGGAACATATCCCTCCCCCTGTGTTGATCTGTGTGGTAGACACATCCAGTAGGATTTGAGTGGAGCTGGTGTCTGTACCCCAGGAACATGTCTGTAGTCCTTAGGGAGAAGAACAATCATTTGTCATATATTCCGCTGGGACGTATCATTAGTGGCAATGATGTATTTGTTAACAACATAACACCAGTAAGTCCACAACACTTTAATGGCTCACAATAGGCGAGAGGCGATGTATATGTATGTGTGTGTTTGTGTGTGTGTGTCATATAGTTATCATGTTCTCCGACCATACAAAACGAAACATATTAACGTAATACAGTGTACATGTGTACATGTGCATAACATGTTAACTCCAATGAACGCGTTCAACATACAATGTGTACCTATTATAGGTCTCATGGGCAACTCGAGCATGTACATATACTGGTATGTTTTATAGATTGTTTACACACAGGTACAGAGATTCACAACCCACAAAGGCAGTACATATAGATGTCAAACTACCACATATCTAGGTAACCGACACTCAGACCCCAGTGTGTTAAGTAATGTATAAAGTTACAGTCTTACCTGAGATGACTGCCACTAACGCGAGGAAAGCAAAAGTCAACATGACGCCCATGTTGACTTTTATGAGCATTTATAATACATGCTGTATTCATCTGGAACCAGGAAGTAGATTCTCTGTGTGATAACCAGTGCCACTAGTAGTACATTTTTGACGTACTTTGTGGATAGATGTCTTAAGTGTTGCCCCGATCATTGAAAACATCACCTGAAGCCTCTTTCAATAACAGAGGATGTCTACTTCCAAGTCATCAGCCTCGTGTTGTCTTTACTAAAGGAACAGCAATTATGCAACTCCGGTGCGATATCGAAGTCGTCATATACAACGTAACAACGTATCACTTGTATTGATGCTATTGCATGTAATCAGTCATGTGATATATTGTACAAATTAGGATGGACATTGAGATAATATGTTTTTACATTTTTCTTGATTTCTTACAGTTGGTGATAACTACATTGACTGGTTATCTATGTTGTGGTCTGGACAAAGATGTTATTGGTAAACTGGGGGTAGTTCTATATGAAATGGCATATTGACTTGTTAATTCGGGAAGTGAATTCTAACCCTATAATTATGATTATTGACAAATACGTTAATCCTATGTGACTGTATTCTGATAGAACACATACCAACCTGTTTTGGGGGAAAACCGTTAGGTATATTCAATACCTTTGAAAACAGATAAAGTTTTACAAATAGCCACACCAATGAATGACGTGTATTCTGCAATAGTTTCCATGTCATGAATTCCACTTGCAACCTTTAATATCCTCTGCTCGGGTCACTGATTCTACGTGCGCTCTACGGGTCACAAGGCAAACTTCACTGCCGGGCTGATTGCACTGGAAGCAATTGCAAGGAACTTTTCGGTCACTGTACCAATAAATTTATTTTTCTTCAAAAGGACATAACAAATTCACTATGTACTTTGGACAACTTTATTAGTTTTAAAAGATTGCTGGATCTACCTATATTGTGTATGACAACCCGTGAAGATGTGGGTTAGAATGTGTCTTCAGTAACTCATGCTTGTCGTAAGAGGCGACTAACGGGATCGGGTGGTCAGGCTCGCCAACTTGGTTGACTTATGTCATCGGTTCTCAATTGCGCAGATCGATGCTCATGCTGTTGATCACTGGATTGTCTGGTCCAGACTCTCGATTATTTACAGACCGCAGCCGTATAGCTGAAATATTGCTGAGTGCGGCGTAAACCTAAACTCACTCACTTATATGACAGCAAAGCCCAATGTGGCGCGGGTTATACATGTGTTTCACCTTGGTGAAGCCCACAAAACCTGACACATTATCATGTCGAATCTGGGACACAACTATACACACACACTGAAGACTCAAAGACGACTGGCCACAATGCTTCCACTAATGTATGTACTTGAGCTACCAGGGATCAGGGGCCATGAATTATATCAGGAACAAATCCGTGCTGTAGGTTTCCTTGCTTGCGTTAGCCTTTCCTCCCGTATTGAGACTCATTCATTCATTCATTCATTCATTCATTCATTCATTCACTCACTCATGCATTCATTCATTCATTCATTCATTCATTCATTCATTCATTCATTCACTCACTCACTCACTCACTCATGCACTCATTCATTCATTCATTCATATTACACACAGTCCAGACAGCACGTTGGACATTTTAAAGAATGTTTACAGCCCCTAACACTGCAGCCTTCTGCATAACCCAACGTCAGAAGGGCTGCCTTCCTATAAGCATTCCCGGGCACTCTCACAATGTCAGTCAGGAGATATCATATTAGTTTTTAGAACGAATACGGTACAACCACCTTACAAACTATGAAAGGAGCTCCTTCTAGTCAGTTGCAACCAAGAAGAGTATTTGTATGTTCTCATAATGAATATTCATGTTGAAATCTAAACACAGCGTAAACTCAGTGGGTGACACAGATTACACATGACAAATGGACATTACTCTAACCATAACTCTAAAGGTGTAGCTGTACATTGAAGCGATCCAACAATGTCAAATGCACGTCGTGTCAGGATGTTCCCGAGTACGTCGCGACTGTGAGACCGGTTTTCAACAACAGGGTCCCTGGGCCAGCTGTACATGCGTCTTCGTAACCATGGTGATCCATAGGTTCCAGCTCCAGTCTTTACTTCAAACCACTCTGTGTAGTTCAAAGTACCATGCGTTATTAACATACAATTTGCATTAGACCCAATGTGTGCCTGTTTGCACCACAAATATTGTCGTTAATCACAACAATTTATTCAAAGTAAACGATGTGTTTTCTCTGAAGGAAGGGCTGACTCTGCCCCATGCTGTAATAACATAGAGATGCTAATGAGCCGGACCACCCGGTGTTCCAGACAAACGTACCCTGCAACACACCCAGCAGTCTGTGTGCACATATGTGCAACATATTTACCTAGTTACACTCGTCTACACCCTCTGTAGCTGTACAGGATCACCTTTCGTTTATGAAAAAACAATTGAAGTGTCGGTAGAGCAAAACACCCTTCAACGAAGACCACGTTGACAAGCAGGAAGATGTTGTTTACAGAAGAGATTATGTGAGATCAGAACGCCCAATGTTTGTATGGAAGCGCATTAGTGCCACGGTCTCAAACTTTGTATCATCTTCTTGGAATACGCTTTATCTCCGTAGGTGATGCTGACATCTACGTAGGTGAAGCTGACATCGACGTAGCTGATGCTGACATCTACGTAGGTGATGCTGACATCGACGTAGGTGAAGCTGACATCTACGTAGGCCACATTTACATCGACGTAAATAACACTTGCTCTCTCATATCCATACATGATTTGTGGATCATACTTTTAGGGATAATTTCTATAGTATGCATCTCCATGACTTCAGGTAAAACTGACAGTCTACGAAACCACAGGATGTGTATCGTTATTCAGGCCATGTGACTGTCTTTCAAATATGTGACCCCAGTTTTAAATAGTTTACACAGACGTTGAATATTGATCATATATACATTTATACGTATAGGTCGTATTTAAATCTTTTGCAGTGTGCTGGTCGTTTAGACTATTTTCAAAATGAATCTATGAGCGTTGAAATACAAAATAGTGAATAAGTATTAATTAAACCAAACATTCAAACACTGAAAAGTACCTTATTCAATGTACAGTAGTACCTCAATAAATACATATCACTTTTGAAAGTTTAAAATAACCGTTTGTTTAATGAGGCAGAATATCTTCTTCATCAATAAAATGATCTTCTATTTACATGAAAGTATCTTCAATGTAGATGATATTTCTTACCAATAATACGTTCCCATAGTGTTTGGCTTTATCATATTAACACTTCATATTGGTGAGAAAGGACGAACAATAATTGTTCCTGATAAAATGTCACGACTTGAACATTTGGTGGTACTGGGTTCGAATCCTAAGTAATGACATCAGAACCACACAAGTCCAGGCTGCAACACATATGACGGACGACCTGCGGGGTAGAATAGGTCTTCGTTTGTAGTTTTGTCGTAAGACACACGGGATCGGGTGGATGTAGAGTCGATTTCTTCATCGAAGTGGCTCCAAACCTACTTCATTATGAGACTATGAGACGATTCAATCTGATGAAGCCGAGTATTGCTATAACCACATTGGTTCAGCCATTCATAGCCCCCATTCAAGTCATTTTACGGCCGCTTGCTGCACCACTCGCAATTTTTAACTTAGCAGCGTGGATTTTATATCACATCTCACACTTGGCCAAATACATGGTATAGAAGAATATTTTAGTATTGGTGACGCGGTGGCTTAAAACTGGGGCATTTATACAGCGTAGAAATGCCAATCAGTTGTATATACTGGAATGCTTCTTAACTGAAAATTTTACTCTTCGTTTTTGATTATTATTAGAGTGAGTGAGTTTGGTTTTACGCCGCTTTTAGCAATGTTCCAGCAATATCACGGCAGGGAACACCAGAAATGGGTTTCACACAGTGTGCCCATGTGGGGAATCCAACCCCCGAGCGAAAGAGCGAACGTTTTAACCACTAGGCTACCTCACCACCCCATATCAGTATCATAAGTCGTTAATAATAATTTCGCGCATGAGAGAGAAGGTACCACCAGTATTGAGACAATAGTCAGAAAAACTACTACTTTCTCACAAAGATGTGTATGCTGTTGACATAGATGTACGTGGCTTGAAGTTACTATGTTGAGGCATGGGGTACAGGTTCACGTCAGTCAGGTGATGAGTGAGTGAGTATGATTTTACGCCGCCTTTAGCATTATTCCAGCAATATCACGGCGGGGGATAACAAACATGGGTTTCACACATTGTTCCCGTGTTGGGAATCGAACCCTGGTCTTCGGCGATACAGGCGGATGCTTTAACCATTAGGCTACCCCAGGTGATCAGTATCTATGAAAAGAGATTCATATAATTCTCGGTATGGAGTAGAGTTCAGAGACAGTGGACTCCATATTCATTACGTATCTCGTACCCAGGTTGTGAGTGTAAAGACAGCTCTCCCTTAATACATAATAATTCCACCGTGCCCCGTGCCAATTGCAGGACAGCAGAGGACCCAGGTGCCCCGGTCTGAAATGAGTTGACTGAAATGAGAATCAGTTGGTTAAAATGTCTGCACTGATTGAATGTCATCGTTACCCAGCAACGTGCATCCTTCTCACGTCGTTAACCCTTTGACTGCCGAACCCGGAACCGATTACATGCATGCCCGTGTGTTCGAATATATGTGAGGCAATCTGTTGAAATATGATAATAAAATAATTCATCTAAATACTTTATTGCACATTCATATTTTTCTATATAGAAACAGCTATCTAGTAAATGAACTATACACTAACATTATGTTTCTATGAAATTACTAAACTGCAACTGTACACTTACATATCATTTTTATCCAAGACATTGTCACAGAGAACAACCGTCTGCACACTGATTATTACTCGCAGTTATCACGAGATCTCGCGAGATCTCCCAGCGCCATGTTTTGTGTCCCCTGCCTTGATCTTGCTGCGGCATTGCAGTCAAAGTGTTTAGCAACGATTGAAGAATATCGGTTAGTAATTGGAGGGTTACTTAATCTATAAAAGAATGAACGGATTCCTGGTTATATATTATGGTGAAGGACATGTTTTACAACAGGCTATCTGCAAGACCTACAACTCCTACTTGGTCAGAATAGAAGACAAGGACGAGAACAACTTCATCAGTAATTTCATACTGAATTTTAAATGTAAGTTTCGTTGTTTGAATTAAGTGATCACATGAAATGCACATAAAACAGTATACATCATAAAAGTAATGCCTAGGATATATTCTCATCGGAGGTCAATTATGAAGTATACATGCTAAATACATTAGAGTTGATATAAAATTATATACTGGAAAACCCTGTTGCACTGTTGCAATGTATTGCTGTCCTCATTGTCATATGTTATACATGAAATATGACTAATGGTTGATCATTGACGTGAGGCGGTGGGGTAGCCAAGTGGTGAGGGCGTTTGCTCGTCACGCCCAAGACCCGGATTTGATTAGTGATGTGTAAAGCCCATTTCTGTTGTGACCCTCCGTGATATTGCTGGAATATTGCTAAAAGCGAGGTAGAACTAAGCTCACTCACTCACTCATCATTTACGTGTATTACATGGTATCAACAGCTGACTTTGTGGCGTGGTTCGGAGCAAATGACAAAATCCAGGAGGGCAACTGGGTTTGGGGTGATAGCGGGGTCAAGCTGACCTACTCAAACTGGGGAAATGGACAGCCTGGCTCTGAGAGCGGCAACGAGGACTGTGGGTTACTTCAGAACTACGGCTCGACGTTCATGTGGTATGACGCCAGGTGCATTGATAACGCCGGCCACATATGTGAAAAGTCGTAAGTTGATTCTTTCTTGTACGCAAAGGATATCTATAGTTAATATATCTTATGTCCTCCGCAGTGATATTGCTGGAATATTGCTTTCAGCGGCGTAAAACTAAACTCACTCACTCATTTACACAACGACAGTGTGTAGGGGGTGTCTCCTTGATGATGAACAAGCCCATTGCGACATTTTAGGCAATTCAGTTTTTATAAATATATGGTAAATTCATCTAGGCTCACCGACGTGCACATCTTTGAAGTCCAATAACACTTGTCAGAAAATGAAAACCTGTCATGACACATTTCATGTATGCAACTTCTGACAGAGCCAATTGGCCACACTGCACTCTCACTTTGTAATAACCCTGTAATAGCATCTGTCATTTCTGTTGGGCAAGCACCCCCGTGTTATATAGTAATGCTCCGTAAGGAGTCCATGAGAGACTACGCAGGACCATTTACCTGCCAACTGACGTCCCGAACGACTTTTCACCTATATCGTTATGCCTCTCTGATAATTTCTATTGTTTCGAGAGGAGCCAAAGTGCATATACAATGTAGTAATGTCCGTTTATGAGTGAGTGAGTGAGTGGGTTTATTTTCACGCCGTTTTTAGCAATATTCCAGCAATATCACAGCTGGGGACACCAGAATTGGGCTGCAGACATTTTATCCATTTTGGGAATCGAACCCGGATCTTGGGCGTTTAACCCCTATGCTACCCCACTGTACCCCGTTTATAAACATTTGACATTTCAAACAGTACCGACTGGGAAAAACTAGTGTTGTACTGATGATGTTTAGTTTAGCAACACTTACAGAATGAAAGCACCAGTTAACAACACCAAATTTAGTTTTTATTCCTGCATCAAGAATAATTTAGGATTTCCTAACCCAACCGCAGGAAGCAATTATTGTAGTCATGGAAAGGTTGTTTACAAACCATGCTTATATTTTAATCCTTTTGTTACAGCGCATCTGGTGACAATCTCGTTGGATAAGCCTCATTATGCTTTCCTTGTTTTGAATGTAACACAGGAACTGTATAGCTTACTGAATAAACATAAGAGAAACATGGCTGTATGCCAAACGTGCTCCTGTGTGAATATCTCTGTCTATCTCCACGTATATATGTGATTATATGTATCTACATATTCAATTGTGCGCGTGTGTGTGTGTGCGTGCGTACGTGAGTATGTGTGTGTCATATATCTCCACTAGTGTGCGCGCGTGTGTGTACATGTGTTTGACAATTACAAAATAAAAACGTCAAAAGAGGTTAGTTTAGTGTTATGCCAACAGTACGACAACTTACTCAAGCCAACCCCAAATACTGAAGCTGTACAATACAATTTAGTTTTTCGGGAGTGTAAGGGTGATGGCTACACTTAGTCGAACAGGAAACACTAGCAAGGGACCAAAGTCGGTAACTAACTCAGAAAGACTCAATTATCAACAGCAGGGATGTTAATATTGATCGGACTATCGACTATCACAAGTACTGATAGACATAGTGCAGTTCGTGCGTGTGTTCGGTTTAACCAGGATATGAGTATATATTTCGCGACATGTGATGCACTTTAGGAGGGAAAGACAACACACGTAGTGCAAAAGAGCTGCAGAACATAGCTATGTGACACTTGATAAAACCGTACGTCCAAGTATGTTGCTGAAAACCTACAACTGTATCCATATGTAATCTGGGATTGAAATCCACAAACGTTGGTATCTCGCACATCTAAGGGACGCAACTCCAATCAGTCAATTTAGGCGCATAAGCCGACGATGTCGCCAAAATCAGCACGTAATAGCACAATAATTTCATTAATCATCTCTTCCCGTCAGTCATTGAAGCATACCAAGTCATTCCACAACAGCGGCGAGCCATACACACTATGCGCTGACAACAATTGTATTCAGTGGGTTAAACAGTGAACTAGGTCCTGGTGCATGATGACGAACGATACCTAATATGGGATACAGGACACAAGTCATGATTTTCCAGGGATTGTATAACAGAGATAACATGATCTCCGGTTTGACAGAATGAGTAGGAGGAAGTTGTGTGACTGTATCGGGGACTCGTGACTGACATCTATAGATGCATGATTCATTGTTTTCACAGTTACAGAACTATGACTGTATTTCAAAATGATACGCTTATGGTATAGAAAACACGCGCATGCTTGCTGCAACAGGATGTTTAGAATGACAATAATCAGGGTTGTGGATGTTTTTTTTATGTATTTGATGGTATTTAGTTTTATCTGATTATCGGCCAGGTAAAACCTGGCTTGTACATCAGTATATCCAATGAACAATGCATTGAAAAACACGTTTTAATTCATGGGCGATATCATTCTGGCTAGGCGACTAGGGCACACACACACACACACACAGAGAGAGAGAGAGAGAGAGAGAGAGAGAGAGAGAGAGAGAGAGAGAGAGAGAGAGAGAGAGAGAGAGAGAGAGAGAGAGAGAGAGAGAGAGAGGAGAGAGAGAGGGGGGAGGGAGAGAGAGAGAGAGGGGAGAGAGAGAGATACAGAGAGAGTGGGGAGGGAGAGAGAGAGAGAGAGAACAAACAAGACACACACGCAAACACACACACACATACATATAATATAATATATAGCTTGAGATTGAGAACGATTGAGAACGATAAGGTTGATATATGTTGCATCATAAAGCTGAGACAAGGATGATGGATAATGTTTGGGCCAAAACATGCAGACCCCATGAACGACAGGGTAAATGGATAACAATGGTCACAGCGACCGAAAAAGGAAAAGGGCCATAAGCTGTTTAACACTATATTTAGCTGCATATAAATTATAGGTAGGAGTATTCATTTTCACCAGCGCTATGCTCACCAGATGTTGCAGTCGAACGAATGCTGGATTAGTGAGAGTACATCTTATCGAGTATGAAAGTGTGCACAACACAATCATGACTAGAGCACCAGTAATGATCAATGGGTGTAATCAGCCGATCACACGTAACTTGATCACACCTGACCTGGTTGAAGACCTTACCTATTTCTGGTCCTGATACAAAGAGGCCGGGTGTTGTCGATGAGGCTGCCGATGTTGTTGTCGAAGGAACTGCTGTAGCCTTATGTGTGTGTAGTGCAGGTGAAGTGTGATGCGTCGACTTGTGTATGTGGTGCAAGCGTTGTGTGTTTAGTATGCAAAGTTGATGATAATGTTGTAGTTCGCTCGCCACGTGTTCAGAGTTCAGAGACAGTGGACTCCATATTCATTACGTATCTCGTACCCAGGTTGTGAGTGTAAAGACAGCTCTCCCTTAATATATAATAATTCCACCGTGCCCCGTGCCAATTGCAGGACAGCAGAGGACCCAGGTGCCCCGGTCTGAAATGAGTTGACTGAAATGAGAATCAGTTGGTTAAAATGTCTGCACTGATTGAATGTCATCGTTACCCAGCAACGTGCATCCTTCTCACGTCGTTAACCCTTTGACTGCCGAACCCGGAACCGATTACATGCATGCCCGTGTGTTCGAATATATGTGAGGCAATCTGTTGAAATAGGATAATAAAATAATTCATCTAAATACTTTATTGCACATTCATATTTTTCTATATAGAAACAGTTATCTAGTAAATGAACTATACACTAACATTATGTTTCTATGAAATTACAAAACTGCAACTGTACACTTACATATCATTTTTATCCAAGACATTGTCACAGAGAACAACCGTCTGCACACTGATTATTACTCGCAGTTATCACGAGATCTCGCGAGATCTCCCAGCGCCATGTTTTGTGTCCCCTGCCTTGATCTTGCTGGAATATTGTTAAAACCATGCTGACTCACCACCCAATATCAGATACTGCATTGTGAGGGTATTTTCATATATTTGCGTACAGTACGTTGTGAGTGAGTGAGTCTGGTTTAACACCGCTTTTAGCAATTTTCCAGCAATATCACGGCGGGGGACACCTGAAATGGGCTTCACACACTGTACGCATGTGGAAAATTGAACCCTGTCTTCGGCGTTACGAGCGATCGCTTTTACCTCAAGGCTACGCTACTGCCCCTCGTCAAGCTCGGTGTTTTAGAGGATTGGCTTTATAAAACGGACATAGCTCATAATATTGATACAGATACTCTTACTAAAAAGCCACCGTCATAAAGTAAAAACATACTGACTGTGGCGTTAGTCATGGTGGGTATTTATTCACTCTCGGAGACCTTCTGAAAAAGATAAGAATACGACCTAGACGACGTGGGCTTTTTTTCGTCATGTAAGTGAAACACTTTTCAAAGTGGCCTTAAACTTTCTTAACCGTAAGTCCCCATGGTCCCTAGTATGGTGATCTACCTTCAGTCGTTGGCAATTTATGGCCTATTTTTATATGGTATTGTTATTATAGTTGAAATATTTTAGATTTAATTACTAGTTTTAAATGAATATCTGTGATACACTAGTAGTTTTACTGTTCTTCGTCAAGGCTTTTATTTTCCAACTTTATTGATCTTTGATATAATTATAAATTGTTTTCGTCACAATATGGCTGACATATCCGATGGGACGATAAATATTAACTCGCTCACTTTACTCACAGGCACACATGTAATGGTGACACGTTCTTACAGCGTATGATATGGGGTCAACGATCAGACTGACACCAATTGGCACATCTCTTTGTGGAGAGGGGACCTAGTTATTTTTAGGTTTATATTGCAGCATACGTGCATGTATGGATCCCTGGCAAGCATCCAGTTCATACAAAGGCCAATCTAGCTAGCTATTCATTGTACACACGTGTGTCAAACTAACGGCTTTGATGATAACATTCGTATTGCAGTCATATATTAATATATTAAATCCACATGACAGACTATTGCCTGTCACGACAGACCTGCATATATAGTGTGAATAATTTGTCCATGTGTCCTGTACACCATTGGCATCTTATCAGCTAGTTGGTTGTGTGCCCTTGCTAATTATTTAGAAATCACTGTAGAGGTAGTAAATAGGGACTGTCACCCATGTGTCTTTTGGTATCAAATATATTAAGAGTATGAACATTTAAAACTCATTATTGACGAGTGAGATTGTATTTCTCACCCAAATATATTTTACAACTATATATGCTGTTGGTAACGACAACAAAACAGTCTCTGAGAGCGTAACTTTCTGTATCAGAGACTTAGTGATGTTGATGGTGACTTCGTTGTAACCGGTAACGTCACTATCGTGATCAATTTCGCGTAGCGACATCAAACGTATGACACATGCATTCGTTAGTACCTATTATAATGTCACGTTGACACTGGCTGTTTACATAGTGTACATAACCACACTTCCCTCTCCTTTAATCTCAGCTGTACTCCACTTTTACACAACGAATATTTCATGAGGCGGTGTTAGATCCATAGTTTTGCTGTGGACAAAGTGGTAGTAACCAATTTACTCTAAAAGGCCACCTGTTAGACATATCGGTGACTGAAAGATGGGATGTTGAGTTCGGTGTGTTGTGAGGCTTTTCAAAACAAAGTCCGTTAATAACACCTACGGCGGTGGAAACATTTTACTAAAATTCACTGTTCGTTAGATATTCTACAAAACGTGGGTTGTGAAACACGTTCAGCTTCTCCCTTCAGAGAAACATCGTAATACTTGAAATGGTTACCCAAGCAGTTTTCGGTTTCTAACAAATCTCCCATCCCAGTACCCCAGAGTAGGATCGTCAGTTAGAGAATGTATATGTGCCTCCCCTTCACCAGGGCAGATATTTCCTAATGGCTGCCATCATGAAACTTCTCATACGTTACTACAGCACCGATGTGACCCGAGAAGGTGAGGTGACACGTCCTACTCGTACGGATAGACTGTGCGTACGGATAGACTGAGCGTACGGGTAAGCTCAACTATTTCTAATACACAAAGTTAGCCTCTTCTTTGTCCGCTGCGGACGTTCTCGGGACCTGGCCGTATGGCGACTTTCCGTTTTGATCCTTCAGGTAGGAATCTACTCGCAGAGGTTGTTTCCTGGGCACTCGCACACCTGTCTTTTTTGCAGCGGCGCCTTGGTAGTATCCA